TTCCCAAAGTGGGCAATACCATCTGTGTCAATTTGAGAGGATTATGAGTGAAGAGGTAGAGTCTAGCCTGTCAATCATTGTATAGCCAATGAGGCCTCTGTGTGGGCATGGCCTTCTCCTGAGGATTCTGGGAACTCCTCTTTTCCTTCGTGGAGGCGGGAGACACTTCTCTCTAGTCAACCCAGAATAACACACCATCTTACAGGGTTGTCTGAAAAAGCAGATATCTACATTTTATCCTGGATTATGTAGTATAAAAGCATTAGTTGCCAAAGGAGCATTGAGTAAGTTTAAGCCCGGTAAGTGTGGGAGCCTATGACCTATAGTTAGACCTCCTAGACTCTGCCTATCTAGAGTATCGGATTTCCTAGTTACTGTACGTGGTTTAAGGATGAGCTGCTGGCTTGAGCTGGACCAGAGGCTTCCCTGAGACTTTTGCTACAGCTATCAGGAAGTTGTATTTCTATTGAATTTAGTACACTGGTAAGTCATGTCAGGGCCTACATCTGTCTCCCTGCAAGAGACAGATGAAGTCACTACATATCTGGATTTAGTATGCCTAAAGCACTCTGATCTGCCTGTGTTATCAAACCATTAATACCCATTTTCATTTTTATACTATTTCGAGTTGGTATTGTCATTTGCAACTCAATCTCATTATTGAAAGTGCAAAGACGTCTTATTGAGCCAGTCAATTTTATCTAAATAGCATCTCAGCTACTTCTCTGACTAGAGGAGGAAGGCATTGGCTTTTGATTTTGCAGAGGGTGGAATTTTAGTTCAGAAAACAGGTAATTGGGGGTAGGGTGGAGGGTAATGTGGGGCTTAAAGGGCTATTTTGTGCTTTAAAAAAGTGGAGAAAAAGAAGGCCAGGTAGGGGGGAAAAGTTTGCTAGTCAATACTTCCCAAGTTATAGATCCCTTAAGAATCCCCATCACACAGTCCTCAAACTTAGTCGGAAAGAATGTGCTGAGATCTGTGGTGTACGTGACTTTGAGGGCTGCTCCTTCCCTTGTCCTTGTTCGCTGCGGAGTCAGTTCCAACCCACAGCAACCTCATGTACAACAGAACAAACTGCAGCCTGGTGCTGTGCCTTCCTTCGCGTCCTGCCTATCTCTGAGCACACTTGCCGCCCCTGGGTTAATCCACCTCATTGTGGGCCTTCTTTTCACGGACCCTCAACCTTACCAGGCATGTTCTGACTCAAAAGGCAAGCCCAATATACACGATGATGTTCCCTTTCCAAGGTTTGTTTGTTCTTCTGGTAGTCTGTGGGAACCAGCTCACATCCGGTTGGGTGCTAAGGGATGGTCATGTAGTTGAAGGAAAGAAATTAGAGATGGACAGAAGTTTTGGGGTGCTCACCTTGTTCATGACATCAGGAATGAGTGGGAGAAGTGTTCTCCTCTAATTACAGGTAACCACACATGTAACAAAGTGGGCAGTATAGTAACCCTAGAGGCCCCTGAGTTCGTTGGGGGAGTAATGTAACACCAGTGTTGGGGGCAGTTAAGGGGGTGTGGCTGTCCCCTCGGCGGGGAGCATAGCAACATATCTGCTTCTATAGATCAAGCTGCTGGGTCAGGTACCAATAGGCCACGTGCTTCCAAAAGAGTTAACTTTGGGAGATATTGCGGGGATGATTTTTAATTAGGGGAATGTGACTGGGATGCAGCTCTCACAATCACGAAGGCCTCCCTCCACCTAGAGCCCTGGTCTCCCAGGCTTCTTAAATATGAGAATAAAGAATGTGTTGTCTGCGCACTCTCTCTTCCCGGCCTTTTTCTCACAGCAGCCCTTGGGATAGTGCATGATTTTTTTGTCAATACCAATGCGCCTGTTCTTTGGTCTTGCTTACTCATGGCCATTTCTGCGTGTGTTTGAAGTGAGGGAGTACCGTGGGGTGTATCAGGCGCAGCTTAGTTCTCAAAGTGACACCTCTGCTTTTTAACACTTAAAGAGGTCTTGTGCAGTAAATCCTGCTCTGATCATCATCACCTGGCTCCAATCAGATTACTCATGAGAAAAGTGCCACACTGGCTGTCAGAGGAATGAACGACACCAGGAAAGACTTGCACATCTTATTTTATTTCCATTAGAAAAAGATTACCTCTATACAATTTTGGTCCACTTTCTTCTTTGCTTCTGCCATTCAGTTTGGATACTTTTATTCAAGTAAAAGCAGAATCATGGATCTGATACGAGTGTAATCCCTCACTGTATTACTAAGATTTAATTGGATTAAGTGTGCTTATTATTTATCCGCTGGGGTAACATATTTTCTACCTATTGTTTCCTGTCACTCAGAGTAACTATGTAATGAGTGAACCTTCGTCCACATTCATTGATTGTAAATAAATGTGACTTACAATACCAACAATTAAATCCATCTGATCTTCAATTCATGTTCAGCTCTCCCCTTAGAGGGAATTTCCACACATACAAAATCATCAGATTATTTTGGTCAAGCTTCCACTTCAAGCATTGATTACAAAAATTAGTGTTAATTTTAAGATATTTTGAAAATCCCAGGCGCTTCACAACACTGGTCCCATTTATAGTCATGCTGATGAGATTGGTCCTTGGATCGCTATTGCTTCAATTTCAACCCGGGCCCCCTTTAAGGAAAGTAAAAAGACAATGGTTAGGTCATTTTTCAGCGATTAAGGGAGCTTGATAACACCTACTAAGGAGCGCTGGTGGCACAGTGGTTACACACTGGCCTGCTGACCATCATAAATTCAGTAGTTCAAAAGCGCCTGCTGCGCTGTGGGAGAGAGATGGGCTTTCTACTCCTGTAAGGAATAAACAGTCTGAGGAACTCACAGGGGCAGTTCTACCTGTCCTAGAGGGTTGCCATGAATTGGCATCAACTCAAGAGCAGAGAGTTTGTTTGCCTTTTGGATAGCACCTACTAAGAATATGGAACTACCAGTAAACAGTACTATAATGATTAAACTATTCGCTATGGGGGATGCCCATAAGAACAGATGATGGGCCAGGGACTGTGCTAGACAATGTCACCTATGTTAGCACAGATAATGCTCCAAACAGTTCTCTAAGACAGGTCTCCCTGCCCCACCTCCAACCCACAGAAAGATACACTGAAGCTCAAAAACCAAAGAACCGAACCCATAGTTCTTGAGACAATTTCAACTCAAGGCAACTCTACAGAGTAGAACTGCCCTATGCAGCTTTCAAGGCTATAAATCCTGACCGAAGCCAACTAGCACATCTCTCTCCCTCAGAGCAGCTGGTGGGTTTGAACCACTGACCTTTAGTCAGCAGAGCACTGAACCACCGCGCCCCCAGGACTTCTAATCACCGAGGCTTACAAAGGTTCATTAACTCATGTCAGGCCACAAAACCAGATGACGGATTCTAACGTGTGATTCCAAGCCCAGAACAGTTTCTAAGACACCCCATAGCCTCATAAGTTTGTTGATAGGGATCATCCCAAGTAACAGTCAATTAAAGTAATGAAAATGCCATTCTTAGAAGATAAATTTTCTTCAGTGGAAATTGCACATGGAAGTAGTCAGCCAGAGCTGCTTTTTGGTAGGAGGGGCTATTGTGAACCTCAGAGTTACAGGAAAAGAGCATCCAGGTAGAATATAGAAAGAATGGTAGTAAATATGCCACCAATTTAAAGATATTTTCTAATGAAAGGTTTAGATTTCTCATAACACAATAGCCAAGTATATTAAATACTGCAAACCTCATAAATATGGCTCAAATTTATAGTCCCTAAATAATATCACTACAATCCAGCTGGGTTTCGTAAATTTTATTTTTACATTTTCTCACAATTTAATTATTCTGATTCTGTTATGTCTATGTGTGTTACCTTAGAGTATCTTAATTTTTTCCCAAACATGTTATAATAGGTATTTCATTTGCTGTTAAAGATATATGGAAACAGTCCAATGAATTAATGGGCCACATGACTATCAGTCTTCACCACTCTGAGAGCAGAAGAACTAGATGGTGTCCTGCTGCCACTACCAACTGCTCTGACAGAGATCACTAGAAGGTCTTGGATGGCGTGGGACAAACTCAAAATCATAAAATGGTTTGGGCTTACTGGCTGGACAGACTGGCAGCACCCCTGAGATTATGGCCCTCAGTCACCTTTCGGGTCTGGAAACGAACTTGCTTCTGAGGCTCAATTTTCAACCAAATAATAGACAATAGTACTGGGGAGGTAGGCACCCATTAGGAAAGGCAAGATGTGAGATCAAAGGGGCAGTATTTACCCAAAGAGAGAGTTCAGAAGGGCTAGGAAAGGTGTGGAAACAGGCAGCACAGAGATGTGGGATAAGAAATATTTCATTGTGGGAATTGCAGTCAATGAAATGAAACAACATATGTACGACAGGTATGATCCAAATCCCAGAACTGCTGGGCGGGGCCTTCATAGTATGTATTTTTCTCGTTAGGCAAGCGTGGAAGCACCCGCCTGAGTTAGTGCACCCAGTGGTGTCACCTGGGAAGGTTCTTTTTGGTCACAGTTAATTTTTTCATAAAAGCAGTTTCACTTGAACCTTGTTTTTTGTGATGACTGATTTAAGAGAATACTGTGAGGCTGTGAAATTTTGTTTCTTGCTTGGGAAAATGCTGCTGAAACTGTTGCGATGTTGAACAGAGCTTACAAGGACAGCACTATGGGAAAAACAAGTGTACAAGTGGTTTTCTCATTTCACAAAAGGTGAATGTCGATGACAAACGTAGTTCTGGATGCTCATCAACTTCCCGAATGGACAAAAATGTCAACCCGTATTGCATTTGGATTTCATTCTACCAGGTCAGGCTGTTAATCAAGCTTTCTATTTAAAGGTTCTGAAAAGATTGCTTAATAGTGTGTGATAAAAAAAAAGGCCTGATTTGTGGCAGATGGGGGACTGGTTTTGCCACTATGACAATGTCCCTGCTCACACAGCCATTTCAATGCGCCAGTTTTGGGCAAAAACAGTATGCCTCTGGGGGAGCGGGGAAAAATGAGGAACTGATGCCAGGGGCTTAGGTGGAGAGCAAATGTTTTGAGAATGATGAGGACAAGGAATGTACAAATGTGCTTAACACAATTGATGTATGTATGGATTGTGTTAAGAGTTGTATGTGCCCCTAATAAAATTAAAACAAAACAAAACAAAAACACAGCATGCCTCTCTTGCCCCATGTGCCTTACTCACTTGACCTTGTTCCATGTGACTTCTTTTTGTATGAAGAGGGCCATAAAAAGGACAGCGATTTGATGCCGTGGAAGAGGTGAAGAAAATAACAAGGGAGATGCTGTCAGCCATCTAAACGGGTGAGTTTAAAAAAATGTTTCCAAGAATGGAATCACAGAATTGACAAATGTATTCGTTGTAATGGAGAGTACTTTGAAGGTAACAAGGTTGCTTTGTAAAAAAATTAAATGCATAGTTTTGGGGAAAGAAATTGGTTTTTTTTTTTTGGTACTCCTCGTATGGGTTGTTGGATAGAAAACTGATGTACCGTGCAATCGTCACACAACGCACACGAAAACTGAAAGTGAGATTCAGAATTGCTTCCGTTCATGTTTCTCCAGGGTACTTACTTTGGGCAAAGCAGCAACTTGGTAAGCAGCTCTAGCAGGAAAACTACTCTTGAAATCTGAATCAACAACAAAAGTTTCATTTTAGCTCTCGGGAATATTCGCATTGCTTGTCAACACTGCATCATCAAGCACGTGGCTACTCTGTGCAGCCTAGAGAAGCAGCTCCTATTCAGACGTGCTCGCTCAGACGTCTGCCCCAGTCGAGGGCGCGTCATGCTTTTCTGAACGGCTCCACTGCCCGGAAACCGAGGCTGGTCCTCACTGTCACCCTGACCCTGCTCGATGAGAGACGAGGTGCTCAGGGTGCACAGTGCCTGAGAACAGGGTGACATAGTTAAGTTTCAGGAAAATGGTTGATTACAATGGGTTGTAGCAGATTCATCCAGGGAACCCAAGAGCAATGTCTTTTTCACATCGCCAGACTGCGCGCTTCCCCAGACAATCTGCAGACACGAGGGCACGTTCTTTCCTATCGGTTATCCCTCCTCCAGCACAACAGGCACTCGGTGAATCAACGAATTCATCTCTTTTTAAGTGGAAAACAGGAAGAAAGCCAAATCACGTACACTGCTTATAGATGTCATTGACAGTCGCGAAGTCATTTATGTCGGCCAGCAGCACAGTCGTCTTGACCACTGGAGGACAGACAGAGCATCGTGACGGTTAGCTAGCGGTCTGATCCCGAACCCAAACCCACTGCCGTCGAGTCTACGCCCACCCGCAGCAACCCTATACAGAGGGTTTCCCAGGTTGTCAGTCTTTTTTTTTAATCATTGGGGGCTCGTACAGCTCTCATCACAATCCATCCATACGTCCATTGTGTCACGCACATTCGTACATTTGCTGCCATCATCATTCTCAAAACATTTGCTTTTTACTTGAGCCCTTGGTGTCAGCTCCTCATTTTCCCCCTCTCCCTCTTTCACCCCCCTCCCTCAGAAACCCTTGGTAATTTGTAAATTATTATTTTTTCAAGTTGTCAATCTTTATAGAGGTAGATAGTCTCATCTTTATCCCTAGTATCTGTTGGGTGGGTGTGAACTACAAGCCCTGCAGTTAGCAAGCAGTCCAATGCTTCATCAAAGGCACCCCAGAACTGACCCAAAAAAGGACTTAGAACTAAGAGCCATTTTTCCAGATTGTTAGCACAGGATATTTTAAGACGCAATAACAATACAGCAGCCCCAAATCCCATGTGTTCTTCAAAAAGATTAAAAAAATTTAAATGTCAGCATAAAATACTGATTCTTAATTTTTTTTTCTTTTTAAAATCATTTTGTTGGGGGCTTATACAACTCTCATCACAATCCATCCATACATCATGTCAAGCACATTTGAGGGAGGAGGAAGGGAGGGAGAGGGGAAAAAAGGAAAATGAGCTGATTCCGGGGACCCAAGAGGAAAGCGAATTTTGGGAATAATGAGGGCAATAAATGTATAGGTGTGCATTACACAATTGACCTATGTATTGTGATGAATTGTATAAAAAAAAAAAAGCACATTTGTACATTTGTTGCCCTCACCATTCTCAAAACATTCTTTCTACTTGAGCCCTTGGTATCAGCTCATTTTTAAAAAACATTCTTTCTACTTGAGCCCTTGGTATCAGCTCATTTTTAAAAAACATTCTTTCTACTTGAGCCCTTGGTATCAGCTCATTTTTAAAAAACATTCTTTCTACTTGAGCCCTTGGTATCAGCTCATTTTTCCCCCTCCTCCCGCTCTTCCCTCCCTCATGAACCCTTCATAATTTATAAATTATTATTTTGTCACGTCTTACACTGTCTGACGTAACGGCTCTTTTTAAAGACCATAGAGGATGTGGGCTAGGTTTGCTTCTACAAATTTAATAATGCAATATGAGTTTGATCATTCAGAGAAGTAGTTCTATCCAAGCCCCATTTAAAATAACTGACGACTCTTGGAATACTTACAAACACCGAGAAAAACAGAAACCCCAAGAAATAGCGATCAGAAAGCTCACCATTGGTGAAGTCGCATCCGGCAGCTTTCAGGATCTCACCCATGTTTGCAAGAGCCTGCGGGCCAACACAAGAACGGTCTAAGGCTCTGGCGTGGTCGTTCCGGGTTCCTGACCTCAGTGGATCATCTTTGCTTACGTGGCAGGAAGACTGCCCAGCTTTTCCCGGCAGAGCTGCTGTTTGGTTTCCTTGGCATGTAATGGACCTTTCTGAGGTGAGTGGGCAGCCTTGTCCCCTCTGGGAGTACAAGCTCGGCCCTCGGGTGCTTTCCGCCAGTATCCACTGAACGACGGCGCAGTCGTTTCTGGGACACCTCACTCCGTTAACTCAAGGACAAGCACGAGTCGGCAGGCACTTAAAGTGAATGTTTTCCTTTAGCGAATACTTGTGAGGCCGATTTTTCTCCGACAGGAGCCCTGGTGGCGCCGTGGATTCCCACTGCGCTGCTACTCCCGGGCAGGTCCACCAGGCGCTCCGAGGAAGAACGATGAGGCCGTCTGCTCTGTGAAAGACGTAGTTTCTGAAACCCAACGAGGTGGCTTCACTCTGTCCCATGGGGTTCCCAAGAGGTGGAATGGACTCAAGGCAGTGTTTTGTTTTCAAGAAAGATTTTTCTAAAACAAATTGTGTACACCGTATACTTGACACTACAGCCTGTGGGTGTGTGTGAAATGAATACACACACACATATATATACACATATATTTTATTTGTTGTCATTTAGCTGTCTCCTTAACTTAGATGGTAACACCTTCAAAAGCTACCAAAGCAAACGCAATGAAAAGATAGCTCCCCACCTCCCATGCCTCCAGTTCTCCTCAGAGGCACCAGTGTCGGCTTCTGAGAGGGCTTCAAACGATTTGTGGAACAGTTTGAAGTCCCTTCATGTTTCCAGACACAGTTAATGCTTATACCCACATCAGTGTATACAGATCTTTAGACACATATACACACACATGCATGCATACTAGCATACTATGCAAGCTGCTCTGGATCTTAGTTTTTCCAGATGACAATTTCTCTTAGAGATTTTTCAATATCAATTCTGTCATATAGATCTCATATGATAGAATCAACCAGCCTCTTTGTATATTTGGTTATTGAGTGGATAGAGCTGAGTTCCCCCTTCAGAGCTTAGAAACACGCTGTGTATAATCTTTACTATTTTTCTCTCACTAAGAAATGCTGACTTTTGTTCCTAAGGTGCCATCTTTTGTTTTGCTAATGCAGGTCAGTGGCCCTGAGAAGCCAAATTTCCCAATCTGGGTGGAATTGACAAGATGTTATGTGATTTTGACAACACAGCTAAAGGTCATAAACCTTTGTCATAAAGAGGAGGGATCTCTTTCTGGTTGTTCAACCATCCATCAAAATTTCAACTCTTGATGCAGAGAAAACTGTCCTGAACCAATCAGGGAGGCACTGACAAAATCGTTCTATCTGGCCAGCTCTATAAATCCGCCAGCGGACTACTCAACATTGCCCCAGCCGACAGCCTCACAGGACAGAGCAGCTCAAGGGTGGGAACGACTTACCTGCTTGGTTTCTTCTACTACCCCTCCTGGCACAAGCTGTCCGTCTGACGGGTTCAGACCCACCTGTCCCGAAATGTACATGGTCCTGTCGACCAACACGGCTTGACTGCAATGACAGAAATCTAGCGTCAAATGGAAAATATTAAGTAGAACGCCAAAAGATTTCTTAGAGCATGAAAAGTACAAATTATAAAAGAAAAAGTTCGTCAACTGGACTTGATTAAAATAAAAAACTTTTGCCAAAAGACATCTTGCAAAAGCTGAAAAAGGAAGTGGGAGATGGGGAGAAAATGCTTACAAGAAAATGTAACTAAGAAAGGGCAGTTGTTTGGACAGCGGCTACACATGAGAACGTTCTAAGCAGAGACCAGGAACACATACAAGATAACCCCAAAATCTCACTGACTGTTCAATGGGGTTTTAAAAAAAAGTGATGTATCCACAAAACAGAATTCTATTCAGCTAAAATGGATTTAACTACTGCATACACCGTTCAATTCCACTTAGATGGCATTTAGAATGGAATGATTCTTAGCAACAGAAAGCTGATTAGTGGTTGCCTGAGACTAGCAATGGGGTTGCATACTGACCTCAAAAGGGTGTAAAGGAATTTGGGGGTGACAGAAGTGTTCAAAAGCTTAACTGTGGTATTTAGTGGGTCCAAGCCTCTAGGCATCTACTAAAACTCACAGATCGCTACATTTAATAGGAGTTCGCTCTGAGTTTCTGTTGGGGTGAAGAGAACTTTTGGAAATATCCTGTGGTGGTAAACGCACTAATCAGCGTGAAAATGGTTCTCGTTTACGAGTTGCCCTTGAGTTGATAGCAGCTCTGTGACTGTGTTTACAGATTTTACCAACAGTAAAATGAAGACAACAAAAAGTCACTGGAGAGAGGGCAGACGGCACTTCCTGAGCATAAGAACACTACCATCCAAGTTGTGGGGCTTCAGAAAATTGACAAGTACATGGTTCTACCTGACACAAAGGGTAATAAGTAACACTGCCTTCAGAGCATCCTCGGCATTCTTTACACGCCATCCTCTATGTCCCACGGTCCATCACTAAATACGTTTGTGATTAGATGTGGGGTTAGCCAGGCAATGATGAACTGGTGTTGAACCCGCTCAAGGTTCTGCTGTGGCACTGCTGAAATGTGCCGAGCTCATCAGTTAATTTGTGCCACCACCACCTCCTGCATCCCAAGGCCAGGGACCCAAAGTCCAACAGATTTGGATTCTTTTGGGCAGGACTCAGAATTAAAACAAACAAACAATGCACTCACTACAAACTCCATGCACATAGCAACTAAACCAGTTTCCTGTTTCCAAAAATTCTTTAATATGCCCAATTAATTTCACTAGGATGTAATTAATTAGTGGGAAAGGGCTTTATTCTTCAACACAAAAGACTGGAAAGGAGCAGCATTTCAACCAGACCATAGTCATTGAATAGCTTTACTGCACACTATGTGTCAGACAGATGGTTGAAAAGAGGGCTACAGAGATAGGTAAGGCTCATAAGTACTTCTTGTTAGCCCATGTATTTAGGCATGCTACAGCCAATCATAGATGCATGCATTCAACAATACATATTGAGAAACTTTGTGCAAGATGTTTCAGGCCATTAGACATATAAGCACATCAAAAAATACTGCTACTAAGGTTCTAGCTCATACATGCATGGGCTTATTCTACATAAATGTGTTTAAACATGTCTCTCCAATCACTGGATGGCTGCACAAAAATTATCCCAGGAATACACTTGTCTTAATCTCGTTAAGGTGCCTTCAATAGAAGGGTCCGGTCAAAACAGTGACTTCCAAAGGAATCTGCTGGGCCATGTACATTCAAGGGCAGAGAGGCCAGCTCCGAAGATTGTGGAGACTCTTCCTTGGCATCCCAGAGGGATGAACTTGATCGATTTTCTCCAAGGACATGGAGCCGCCACAGGGGCTTATGAGGAAGAAAACTTAAGAAAACGGAAAACGGCACTGGGGAGAAATTGGCCAGGAAAAGTGCACTGAGGAATTTTTTTTTTCCTTTCACAACAAAGCACCTGCTCATTCGCTGAGGGTCCCAGGGGCTGCCCTATGAGAATCTCACTGGGAAACCTTACCCATTTATCCTACAGTCCAGACCTTGAGCCTTCTGACTTTTTGCTTTGTTCCTCAAACTCAAAGATCTCTGAGTCCCTCAGGGATGCCACACCTGCCTCTTCTGATGTGGCATAAATGAAAGAGCACTGAAGTCTTGGGGGATGGTCAGACAGATGGAAACTACACTGGCAGAAGCGTTTAGACCTACCTCGATGGAGGCTATGTTAGCAACAATAGCTTCATTTTGGGATATCTTTATTTAATAAAGAATTATATGGTTTTTATAACAATACTTGGTGACCTGCTTTCATATATTTAACTAGAGTCGACCAGGTAGTCTTAGAAATGTATCTTTCTTGTGGTTTGCAATGGATTTTGTTGATGGGAAATGAGCACGGGCTATAAATTCGTAAGCATCACCAGACACGCTATAAAAAGTGAGTCTTAAGACATACATGAAGAACACAGGCAATGCCATGGTAAAGCAGGGGACTGTTAACCCACTCGGTGTGGCTGGGGGAAAGACTTGGGGTTTGCACCCCATAAAGATTAAATTATTAAAAAAACCCTCACTGCCATTGCGTCAATTCTGACTCATAGCGACCCTATAGAACTGCCCCTGTGGATTTCTGAGACTGTAACTCTTTATGGGAGTAGAAAGCCTTACCTTTTCCTGAGGAGTGGGCTGGTGGTTCCGAACTGCTGACCTTGTGGTTAGCAGCCAACTCAACCATCACGCCATGGTTGCAGCCTAGAAACCCCTTTGAGGAAATTCTACCCTGTCCTATAGGACTGTTGGGGGTTGGAATTGACTCAGGGGCACGCAGTAAGACTTAGGTAGATGTGCAGAGGTTGTAACTGACAGGACCCTATAGGACAGAGTAGAACTGCCCCTGTAGGTTCTGACACTGTAAATCTTTACTAGAGTAGAAAGTCTCATCTTTCTCCAGCAGAGTGGCTGGTGGTTTCAAACCTCTGACCCTGTGGGATAGTAGCCCAATGTGTAACCCACTAACTACGTCTATGAGTCGGAACCAACTCAATGGAGGAGAGGGTTTTTTGTTGTTGTCGTTTTGGTTTTGAGCGTTATAAAAATAACAGCTTTCTCTAGAGAAGACACCCACATTTGTCATTTGTGGGAATCACTCCTTAAAATGAAAAGAGGGTTAGGGTATGGCATCTGAAAGAAGCCATTCTCAAAATACGGCAGATTGCAAGATTCCACTTACGAGGCAGCCAGCGCAGGCAAATCCAGAGAGACAAAGGAAGCAGACAGCATGGCCAGAGGCCGGGTAAGGAGGGAGTGAGGAGTGCCTGCTAATGAGTGTGGGGCTCCTTTTGGGGGCAATGAAAATGCTCGGGAATTAGACGGTTGAGAAGGCTGCGTAGCTTTTTGGGTATACTAAAAATCAATGGATTGTACACGGGCAACAGGTGAACCTTACGGTATGTAAATTAAGTCAATAAAGCTGTTCCATAAAGGAAAAAGAAGAAACCAGGGCTGGGCCGCTTCCAGAGAGTTCTGGCAGACACCGGCTGGGCTGCAGCGCCAGGCGGTCTAAGGGTGGCGCAAAGTCCGCGGAGGCGCAGACGGAGCCAGGTCCCCCAGGGCTGCCGTCTAAGTGGCGGGGGTCTCCGGGTGCTGCGGGCTCCCAACCTGGCTGTGCCTCCTTCGCGCGCTGTTTCCTCACCTGTTCGATGGGGTTGGCCCCGACGAACCCCAAGGTCCCTCGGAATGACTCCGAGTGGTCGCAGCCCAGAGCCCCCGCGCCCCGGGCCAGCACTCGCTCCCCACCTGCAACGTTACCTGTAGGGACCAATGGCCCCTGGGGCTTTGGCGGTGCTGATCACCTTTCTGATCAAGGACGACATGGCAAACCCTTTCTGCCCAGCGGAGCCTGAAAAGAGCGAACACCTACGGCAACGTCGGTCCTCCTCTCGGAACTAACTAACCCCTGGCACTCTCCGCCCTAAGGCGCAGGGCAGCGCGGCGGCGCTCGGCATTGTGGGAATTGTAGTCCCGGCGCGACTCCAGACCACGTGGAGGAAGAAGCCGGACAGACGCATGCGCGGACACGCCCGCACGCCCGGAGCTTTAGAGGGTTCTCTGCGTTGAGGTTTGTCATTCGGATCTTCTTGCAGAGCGTCTGGCAGGTAAGTCGGGAAGGACTTCATGTCTGCCGGGGTCTGCGGGATTGGGGAGACC